GAAAAAGCATTGGAGCAATGTGCACTTGAAGAAAGTAGTTTAATTACGAATACTACTCACAATAGAGCCAGCAAGCGGCAAAAAAGAGGCTAAATTTAAATATTTTGAATTTTTTGAATCTCATTATATGTTGAAAAGTACTATGAAATCTGCCGTTCCCTTATATAAAACTTTTTAAAATAAAACGAAAAAAAAACTTTTTATTATTTTTGTGGCTTTTCGGACATGTGATAAATGATGTAATTTAATAACTACTTTTAGTAACGAATGTGTCAAATTTTTTGGTTAGTGCAAAATGATGAAATTAGTGGTGATCTACATTAATAGCCCCACGTTTCACTATGTTAATTTCTACCCATTATATACGGATCGGCAATTAATAGCTTAAAAATTGAGCTTGAAGATGATTATAAACAAAAATAAATGTTTATCTAAGAAAATTAAGTAGACGGCAATTACGAAAATAATTGCTGAGAAGAAGATGATGATGATAATCATTACCTTCCCCCTCCCATACCTCCTAATGAAGTTGAACGTAGAAGAGCGTTATGGAGATTTTAAATACTTAATACATTAAATGTTCTTTTGATAATGCTACAATACGAGTAAAATTAACATCATTTGAAGACATCAATATCAATGATATCACTTCTCAATACTACTCATCAATGATTTAAAGCTGAAGATGGTATGAGATGTAGTGAAACTATTAGTAGGATAAGTTTTTGTAGTATTATAAGAAAATGATGAACTATTTGTAGAAATTTATTGCTACTGAGGATTGGAGATTTCGTAATAATCCTTTAGTTACTGGCCTCCTTTATAAGATTTTATACTAATACCCCTTTACGAACCGATGATGGTCATAATATTAGTACTATATGTGTGAATCTAGGGATAGTTTTTCAAAAATGGTCGTTAAAGTTTAAAGGAAATTGCTAAAGTTTTCACGAGAGAATTAGAATTATGGACCGATACTTCACATTTACGTGTAAGAAATAAGATACAAGAGAGTATAGTTGATTTTAGTAAATTTGTTTGGAAATTCAATTGGCTAATAATTCTAGTAATAATGATGAAAATAAGATAGTAAAATCTACTATTGGTGATCCTATTATGAAACAATATTTTAATAGGGCTGTTAAATTAATGAGAGACACTTTAAATGTAGATTCAGTTTATTTATTAGAGATGGCTCTCGTCCTTTATCTATAACTTCTCGTGATTCAAATAATTTCATTTTAAACGCTCATCCTCCCGATGTACCATCAAGTTATTTAAGATCTCTAGCTTCTGCTGGTGAAATTGAATTATCTCCTGAAGTTTTAAAAGCTTCTATGATTACTTCTTATTTTACTTATTAATGCAAGCTCATTCACAAGGGTGTATTTATCAAAATTCTTTACCCATTATCGACCCTCTTTCCTGATGATGTACATTCCGGTATTGTTGTACCGATTTATGATGATACACAGAATGCTTTTTATTTCTTAATCGCTATGACAAAGATCCACAAAGACAATTTGAAGATGAAGAACGTGATTATTTGAGTAATTTTGGTGTAAATATTGTTAATGAAGTATTAAAAAGAAGAGTTATCATTGCTGATAGAGCAAAAGGTGCATTCATTTCTTCAATATCTCATGAACTAAGAAATCCTCTTCAAAGATCCAGTTAGCCAAAAGAAATTAAATGAAAAGAAAATGATAATAAAATAGTGAATAAAAATAATAAAAAGAAGAAGAACAGAAGGAACGTTAAATTATTAGAGGAAGTATCTGATGAAGCTTGTTTCGTAGGTCAACAGATGGTATATATAATGAAAATAATAAAATAGCCAATTCTATGAATAAAAACAATGACGAAGAAAATTTATTAATGGAGAATAATAATAATACTGCTATCATATAACACAAGCAAGGAAAAAACGTGTATATGATTTATTACATCCTAATCAATCTCATCATCAACAAGCTGATTATGTTTTACTTATGATGTTGATCCAAGAAATTGAAGATAATGCATTAAAACAATTATTAATGAATGTAAGTTATAAAAATATAACATTACTTTTTAAAAAAGAAAAAAAAATCTTGTTAAACTAATTTATAATTTGATTATTTAGATTATCGGGTAAATTTATTAATTTTTATTTAAATTTGTGTCAAAACCTTAGTTTATCAGTTATTATTTACCTTATAATAATATGAGGATAAGTTTGTGCCGAAGTATAATTCTGGATTTTACCCGAATTACACGAAAATTAGATTATTAGAGCGCACATATCGAAGTAAGTGTAACAATAACAGATATAACAGATTGACAATCCCGTTCCAACTTGGTTGTTTGTTTAATGTCTATCCCTTTTAACTTATTCCCTTTTAACTTATCAGTTATTCCCTTTTCACTTGTTTGCGCGAGCGTAACATCATCTCCCAATTTTTTTTTTTTTTTTGAAAAAAAAATGAGACGCTAAGCAAATAGTTAAATTGGAACGGTCTTAATTTAAAGTTATTCATATATATATATATATTTTTAAATAGGAATTCCATGAAATTTACGAAGAAAGGATATGTCTTAATTTCATTAGCATCATTATCGTATTCATTATTAAGTGATCAATATAAGAAACATGCTGGAGTACAAGATACAACAACAACGGATACATCATCATCAAATAATATTCACGCGTTAATAACAATAACTGATAAGGATGTAGTATATCACCATCATTTTTATCAACAAATATGTTTCAACTATTTTCTCAAGAAAATTCTTTACAAGTTGGTACAGGATTAGGATTATCTATCGTAAAAATTATTAGTAGAAAAAATGTGAGGTAAATTAGATGTTGAAAGTGAATACAAAATTTAATGAAATTAAAACAGATAATAAAAATGATGATTTAGGAGATTTTAGTAATTCTTTAGATTCGTTTAATAATGAAAATGATAATTTAATTAAAGATTTGAAGAAAAATAACGAAAAATTATTCTTTAAAAAGTCAAACAAAAAAGAATTGTAGTTAAATGTGTTGATGGTAAATTAAAAGAAGTTTTTGAAAGATATTTTAAAGGATGACTTAGAGTTAAAGAACTTATTTGTGAATATAAAGAAAAGGTTACTGATAGTAATTTAGATTGTGATATTATATTTATTGTTGATAATATTGATCAACTTAAAAAAATCATTTCTAAAGTTGATACTAAACAAGCTCCTATAGTATTTACTACTACTTTAGCAAAACATGGTAAAATAGCAGATTTTGTGGAAAAATTACAGAAAGAAATTGAAGATACTCAACTTACACAAAGAAAAAGAAGAAAAGTTGTTATCCTTACACGTCTATGTGGACCTCGTAAATTAGAGAAAGCTATTGTTTCTGTACTTTCAAGTCAACAAGATGATGAAAAATTATTAGAAGAGGAAAATTCATATTTTCCAAAATTAATTATGACACCACCAATTTCAGAAGATGATAATTCAAAACTTTATATTAGTTATAATTCTTCAGAAAAATCATCTAACAATTAACGATCCTTCAAATAAATCTGATTGTGATTCATCATTACTTTCCGTTGCACTACCCTTACGACCCTGTTTTAACCGTTCCACCACACTTCCAAATCTTCATTTACCATCTGAAAATAAAGAACCAAAATTTTTACCTATTCCGAAATCAACTTTTTTACTTATCCCTTCCACTTCACCTTATGCACGCCTACCGCAATGTCAACTTCGTTACCAAATACAGTATGTCAGAATCACTAAATATTAACCCTCCATCTTTAAATGAATTGAAAAAATCCAAATCAGCGAATTCATTGAGTTGTAATTTAGGACCTAAAGTTTTAGTGGTTGAAGATAATGCAGTTAATAGAATGATTTTAGTTACATTTTTGAAAAAACGTGGGATTAGGTTAGATGAAGCTGAAAATGGAGCTATTAGAGTTGAAAAATTTAAAAAAGCATTAGATGATTATGGAGAATATCCTAATCGAAAAGGATTTGATATCGTATTAATGTGCAAGTAAATTTTTATACTTTTTTTAGTAAATCTATGTATACGTGTATTTAATTAAAATATATATATATATATATTAAATAATTTTTTTTTATTTGTAGACATACAATTGCCTGTAATGAATGGTAATGTAGCAACAGCAGAAATACTTAAAATTGAAGAAGAATTCAACAATCCGAAATTTTCATTACCATCGACAGCAATAACCACAACAAATACAACACTCACTAAATATCCAGCTGCATCACCTACAATTATAAATTTTGAATTTCCTCCTTCATCATGATTTAACAAAACTGAGACTCCTTCATTACCAGCTTAAGAATCAAATAATCATTTAAAGCCATTTACTCAAAAGAATAGAATTTTACAAAGAAGAGTATCGATCAATTCTCAAAACAATTCATTTTCAATCACAAGTTTATTATTAAAACCTAAAATATCGATAAAATACCTAAATCAACAACAAAATTCAAAACATCACCTTTTTACCATCCCATCACCAATACCTTCATCACCAAGTTTTCCTATTATTGAAAATAATACTATCAATACTATTACTAAACGTTCTCATTCTTTAACTGGATTAGCTAGTGAAGAAGATAAAGATCTAGCTTTTGAAAGTGAAGTTGATGGATTTTTAACCAAACCTGTTAGTTTAAAAATGTTGGAAAAAGTATTAAAAAAATGGTCAGAAAAAAAAGAACAATCAAGTGAAAATAGTAGTGTTGGAAGTAGTAATAGTAGTAATAGTAGTAGTGAAGGAAGTACATGATAATCATAACCAAACTAATTTATTATTTTTTCATTTGTTTTTATTTACATTTTATTTATTTATTTTTATTTTCTAGTTGCAGATATTTTTTTTAATTTCTTTCCATTTTTTTTTTGTATTAAAAAAAAAGTTCATATAAACATTATATATTACGATATAAACATTTATCACGCATTTGGTCGCATTGTACTTATTTTTATTCATTAAACCCTTAAAAAAATAAGAAAAAAAAAAAATTATTTTTTCTCCTTTCTTCTTTCGGTTTAGTTTTTTTTTCAAACCGAAAAATTTGTTTTTTCTCATTCTTTTACCATTTAGATTTAACCGATTTCTTTCTTTATCCTTTTTTTTTTCTTTCAATTTTTTCAATAATAACATGTAGAAAGATGATTAAGATTTTCAATTAAATTGAACGCTGGATAAATAGTTTGATTTTCATAAAAATCAAAAAAATTGATATTTTTACAATATTTTATAATTAATTGATTAAAGAAATTGTTGATTTAATAATAGATTATTATAACCAAATCCATATCCGAAATTCTCTAAATAATCACCAGATTTTTGAATAATAATTTTAATTCAAAAAGTTTAGTTAAATTAATAATTTATTGAATAAAATTAGTATCAAAAGAATAATAATAAATGGAATAAACAGATTTCTTTTTTCCTAAGTTGATTATAAGTTTAAAATTGACGTAATATAAAATAATAAGAAATAATTAATTAATTAATAAAATATTTGTAGTATTTTCATAATATTAAAGTTTTTTCAAAAACACTTCTAAAAAATTACAATTCCTAATTAATCCGCTACATTATTCTAAAAATTATTTATTATTTATATCATTCTAATATTATAAATATAATTTAATACATATTTTTTGTTACGTCAGCAATTATACCTTATCTTTGTGGTTGTTTCCGTATTTATCTATCCCCTAGGTAATATCACCCTACCGGATTACAAAAGCCACGTTAGTCGGTAATTATTACCATATTAAATTCCTAATTATAAACAAAAAACTTCTTTAATTTACTTAGTATTACATTATAATACTAAATCTTTCTATTTAAAAAAACTCATTGGTCCCGGTGCGAAGCAACGGGTGACAGCTAGTTTAAATTTAAAAATATACTTTAAAATTTATTTAATAAAAACGCGTTCAGTTTACGTTATTAATATAATAATGTAATGAGAAATAAAAAAATAAAAATAAAAAAAATAAATTATTCAAATTACAAACTAAGAAATCTTGAAGAAAATCTCATCAAGTCATAGTGTTTAAATAATTTACTATAAGAAAAAAAAATCAGGTGTAATAATGTTATCTAATTTATACTATAAATCATCCGTATCTAAATATCTAAAAGAAAAAAAAAATATTACATTAAATTTAGTAATTTATGGTAAACTTTAAACATTTTAAAATAATTCTTACTGTCAGGAAGTTCCAATTCGTCTTGTTCATCTGAATGAAGGTTAGGATTGTTATGAACTTTATCTTCGTCTATCAGCAGATATAAATTAAAATTAAAAATCAAAAAATACTGTAGAATAATTTTAAGAATTTAAATAATTGTTTTACCATACCATCATCATTGATATGAAGTTTCTTTATTTGCTGTTGCATTGTTTCAATCTTAAAATCATTTTGAATACCTAAATAAATTAAATCATGTCTAATATTAATAAAATTATAATAAAATTCCAACATAGTATAAATTATTTTACTTGCCATTTTTTGAGTTTCTTTTAATTATATTGGATAACATTTTGCTGCTAACTAAAAAACCTTAAATATAAGTTATTCATTCATTTGATTTATGTTAAAATAAAATGTAATACAATTACCTTTAAATATGCTATTTATTTCTGAAGTACTAATTTTCTTACTACTTGATTTATTAAGATCATTAACTAAAAAAAGCCAAATAAATCAATAAATAATGCTTCGTTATATAATATTCAAATGTAACTTCACTTACTATTATTAGGAATATGAAAATTATATGATTTGTTACTATGAAATTCTAAAAAAAAAATAAATATTATCATTAATTTTTATGGATTACAATTATATAAGAAATTGCTTAATTTATACCTGCTTGTTCTTCTATTATTATTTAAATTAAAAAAATAATATATTATTAATTTAATATAATTAATTAATAGTCTTTTTAAACAATTAATAATGATTAATATAATACCTTCTGTTGCATTTTTTGGTTTAGGAAGATTATCAAATTGATGAAGTTTACTTGTAAATAGTTTACTACTGCTTGTATAATTTTCCATTTTAAAATTATTATTTTCTTCTGGTCGAGTTAATGATTCATTTGATTTACTTTGATAAAATAAATTAATTTCTCTCATTTTATTCGCAAGTGTAAAAATGTCAGGTCTTTTTGATGGATCAGCATCCCAACATTGTTTCATTAAATTTTTATATTCTAAAGGAGTTCCTGGTAAAATTTTTGGTCTTATGCCATTAACAATATTCATTGCAAGATCATAATCATGTTCATAATTATTAAATGGTGGTTGTCCAGATGAAATTTCCCACATAAGTATTGCAATACTATAAATATCAGATTTAAAAGTCTGTTCTTTTCCAATAATAACCTCGGGTGCTATATAAGGAAGATTTCCATATATACTTTTTAATGGTTTATCTGCAGGCCCACAAAATCCAAGATCACTTATTTCAAAGTTATCCTTCATAAATAATATATTTCCAGAATGCAAATCTCTATGAATTGCATTTTCAAAATGAATTCTTCCAAGTGAATGTGTTATATCAGTAATAATTTGAATTCTTTCTTTCCATGTAAGTTGATTATGATTTTGTTGTAAATACTTTCTTAAATCTGTATCCAGTTTATTCATTACAAGCATATAATTTCCATTTGATGGATCTTGTGTTAATCCATAACATTGAACAATTTCATTCCATATATTGCTTATTTTTAAATGTGATCTGGCCTATAAGTAAAAATATAATTAAAATTTAAAATATTATTAATGAAATTTAAAATATTTTAAATTCAAACCTCTTCAAACCAATTTTGACTTGCATTTTCAACATTTTCTAATTTTTTAAGTACTACTATTTGTTCTCCATATCTTTTTAATTGTTGTTCTTTAGAATCCCATTCAATAAAATGTCCATTAATCCAATTTCCTGTATAAATTTCTGAAAATCCACCTTTTGCTAGGTATTTAATATTTTTAAAATTATTATATGGAATCCATTCTGGTATTAGATGTGGTGCAAGTGTTTTCATTTGACATTCTTGTATTAAATTATTGATCATATCATTTCCAGATGTCCAATTTGAAAATTTTGCTTTTAAATAATTTCGAACACAAAGTTCACAATATGTTGTAGCTAAACATTTTTGGTTACAATTTTTACAAATTCTTTTTGTTCCTTCATTATAAACAATCTTTTCTTCATCATAAAGTTTAGTTATTATTCTTATTGCTTCAGATTTTTCATTTTCTGTAAGTGATTCATCATCAAGAAGTGTTTGTTTTTGAAATTCATGTCGTTTGTGCATATCATTATGATCATTGTAATCTAATAATGCATATGCTCTATTAATTGCATTATTAATTAATTTATTTTTACCTAATGACATAATAAAATATGTTATAAAGCTTTAAAATTCTTTTAAAAATATGAATTTTGAAACAAAAGGGCTGAGTCGGTGTCGGTTATCGACTCCGAAATCCTTATATAAATTATTTATTTTGTGTAACCCAAATGAATGTTACATTGTTACAATGTTACATGAACAAATCGTGGCAACATTATAAAATGATCGGCACTGCGGATTACGAGGTAGTTAGTATAGTTAGTAATTCCGGAATTCTTTTGAGTACTAGTGATTAACTTCTAATCTCAATGATTCTTTCCTAGTTCAACTAAAAATCATTTAGATTAAAATTGTATTAAGTTACAGTATGGAAGTAAACTGTAAGTCGAAATAAAATTATAAATGATGAGAAAGTATGTCTAGTCATAAATATTCTTCAGATATTATATGCACTATTTATGTATAAAAACATTATACAATTTTCTTTAATACACGTACTCTGAAGTAGCCATAATAGCAATAGTTAGAGTTGTCACTGTTTACCTTACCGCACTAATACCCTCAATACATTAAATAATTTATAAACATCAGCTTATTTGTTATTATAAATCAAATTTAAAATTTTCACATGTCAATTCTTTATAGTACTATTTTTTTAGGATTATTTCAGGATTTTCGATAGTTGATTAGTTAATTAGTTTATATCATAATTTGATATTATATCATAATTTGACAATTTTAAATTCCTTCATAACCCTTAAACTAATTATTTTCATTATATTTTCATCCTTTGCATTATAAGTTACCAAAGAGAGTGGCTTTTTGGTACACGATTTGTCAAAATTGTAAGAATGTACTCCAATTCATCTGGATATAATTTATGTAATTTTGATCGTGCACAAATTAGACGATACAATATTAGTTCGCTTAATTATTAATACTTTCTAAATATTGACAGTCAATTATTAAGAAATATTTTAAATATTTCCAATTCGTTATAAATTCTTTCCTTTGTTTCAAGAAATTTATTAATTTCTCATTTTGGAAATACACCTAACTTTTAAAATTTGTAATATTGAAAAATTTTATAAATTTATTCTTATAATACAAAGATAATTCAAGTTCTTGTAAATTTGAAAATTTTATGATAGATGATAATGGAATACTATTATATCGACGAATATTTAATTTATTTAAAGTATTTGAAAGTTTCGTCATTAGAAAAGGAAATACATCTCTCATTGAACTATAATAAAATTCTTTAAATTTTAAATTTTTTTGAGTAATAATTAAATCTACCAATTATAATTTGTCCGAAGCTTTAGCTGAGGACATTTACGGTTGGACTCTCTTCAATCTCTTCATGCAAGGTATGTTTGTCCGCACCCAAATAATTTAAGGTATTTTTATTTACTATGACTAATAATAATATATTACTATCAGTACCAAAAAGAAGAATTTTATATATAATAATTTATTCCTCAAAATTTTCTTTAAAATCCCATTGTATAATTCTCTTAAAAATTTAAATCAAAGTATTATTCACATGTAAAGTTCGTCTCCTTCAATCATATTTCATTCATTTATTGACCATCTTATTAATATAATACAAAAGAGAAGGCTACAACTTCAATATAATAGTTACGGTTAATTATTTCAAAACTTTATATTGTATATTTATTGTTAATTTAATAAATTATTATTAGCGAAATATTTACATGAGATGAAACAACTTTTTAAATTTCGATGTTTTCCGAAAAATTTCATTACGATTAGTTTTAGTTATAACGTCTCGTTGTTTATTAATATTGTCATTAATGATTATATCGCTATATCTTTAAATTATTAATGATTGGTCAATTTAAGTTTAAGAGTCCTTGATTTAAATTTTTTTCTAACCAGTTTAGTAAATTTATATTATTGTGGTCATGAAATTGTAAATATAGTATAAATAAAATTATATATAGATATAATTAATAACGAATAAAAACTAGTAACGGTATGAAGAAATGTCTAATATTTATTTATTGTAAAGAACATTAATAAATTAAATAATAATAAAGTTCATATTATTTACAATGATAAAGTACAAGAAATTTTCGGTTTGTCATATGATTATCACATTAAGTTACATAACATTTCTTGTAAAAAAACAAATAATTCTTGGTAAAATTTTTCGGTAAGTAATTTCCGACGAAATTATAAAAGTTTTCGGTAAAATTCAACGAATATGTTTAGTTAAATGCACTCAAAATATTTCTAGAAAAATAATTATGTTACACGTTGAATGAATGAACGTTGCAATCGTTACATCCTTGTACCTAAAGTATCCCGGAATTCCGTTCGTGAAGAATATCGGATAAATATCGGCAATGGTTAAATTATGCTTGATCGACCATTCGAATTACTCGAATTACGAAAACACCATCTAACTCAGTCATAAAGTTTACGTTTCGTTTGTTTTCTTGGCTATGATTTTTTTTTCTTATAAATAAATCCATTAGAAAAATGTTTCTTGATTTTTTCAGAACAAATTTAAGATAACATTAAAATATATTAGAAAATTATTCAAACAATTTTTAAACATCATAATAATTTTTTTAAATTTCTAATTTTTTAACGTTAATAACGTTAACTAATTCGTACCTTCACGTGTTAGATTGATGGCAAGGATATCATATAGGATTATCCAATTATGGAGCTCAATCTCTTTTAAATTGTATTCCATCCTCAATCGCTGCAAACCTTCCAAAAGCAATGCCAAATCTAGTTCCTGATGTAGAAACTCATGGAATAATTATCACTGATCAGGTAGGAAATGTTCTACTTGCTCCTCCAACTAAACCATTTAAAAATGTTTACGAACTTGCAAAAATATCTCGTGGTCTATCATCAATGATCACTTATCGTGATAGACTTCGAGATGTTTTATTAGAAGGTGTACCAGTAAAATGGAATAAAAAATGTATTAAATATGTGGAAACTCAAGAAGGTATTTGGGTATTTTTTGAAGATGGTACACAAGAATTTTGTAATATTTTAGTTTGTGCAGATGGATTAATTCTCCAAGTAAGTTTGTCATTTAATTGAAAAAATTATGGACATTACATAAAAATATCTACTAACATTTTTTTTTTCTTTTATTAGTACGAAAACAAAAATTACCCGAATTACAAATTGTTAATTATGGAATAACTCATGTTGGTGCAGATATTTCTATACCTAAGCATCTTATGGATAAGGCAAATAAAATTCATGGAAATGTTTTGGCCCGTAAAACTCTTGGAACAAAAGGAGATTCAACATTTATGATGACACGCTTAATACCAATCAAACAAGAACAAAATGATGAAAAAAATGAACCTCATTATAGAGCAACATTAGTTTATTCTTATCCCTCCGAATTGGATAATGTTGAATCTGAAAAAGTTAAAGTTGATGATAATGATCCTTCATCAGTCATCGAACATGTTAAACGATTAATTCGAACATTAAGACCAGATTGTACTTTAACTAATTTATTGTTAGAATTATGGGACTTGGCACCTAAAACAATTCCAAATGATCCAATAAAGTTTCCATTTAAAACTTATAATCCTATACAACGAAGAATGATGCGAGATATTGATCCAATGTCTATCAAATCATGGTCAAGTAGTCGAGTTGTATTATTAGGAGATGCTGCTCATTCTATGAGTCCTATATTAGGATTAGGAGCAAATAATGCTATTCAAGATGCTGACAAACTTTCTCAAGCATTACTTAAATATAGTGATGATAATATTTCTTTTATTGAAGAATATGAAAAAGAAATGTTAAAACGAACATCTGCTGATGTATTAAAATCTAGAAATGTCACGTTTATGACTTCCACACCACTTGGACCTTTTGGCGTTATTATTAGAGACAACATTTTAAAGGTTATAAACGTTATGATAAACTTTTATAGTTTTGCAGATAACTTAATTTTCAAGAATTAAAAAACTATTAATATTATTATTTTTAGAATTTTAGAATCATATGCATATACATGATATATAAGTACATATAAATTATATAAAATATATAGATAGAACAAATACTATATTTATTATTATTAGGATTATCAAGAATAAAGAGACATTTTAAAATAAATAAATCTAAACATTTATATATGTCATAACTTTTTTTTTTCTTTAATTTTTTATATTATAAACTGAAGTGGCAATTATCTTTCTATTCTAACTACATTTTTATTCATTGGAATTTTTGCATGCCTCCTGTATATTGGTTCTTGCAAATATAACTGATCTTTTCACATTATTAAAATTTTTTTCTTATCCAAATAAATAATTTTTGAATCTTGATATATTTTTCTAAAACTGTTTTTTCTTTTCAAAAATCAAATTGTATAATCAAAATATAACTTTGTTTTCCTTGGTTAAAAAATGTTGACACTTAAGTTACATTTTTCATTAAATGTTGTTAATTTCAATAAATTATATGTGCTTTTTTCAAATATAAATTTTGTCCAAAATTAGCAGCGAGTATTTGTAAAATTTGTAACTTAAACTCGATACTGGGAAATAATATTATTGCAGGATGTAGCACCGTACAATCGGTAATTACCTACTGAATGATATGCCGTCAGATTATTTATGAAAAGTTTGTACTTAATTAATAAAATTTCCTTATTTTTTATAAAAAAATAAAATTTTTTCCAACATTACGTCGACGGATTATTTTATATCGTAAATATTTAAAATAAGAGTAAACTATCGAATTAAATATGACGTTTAATTTTAAAATTACCAAAATATTTGTTTATATACCTTTTAAATTGTATTGAGCTAATAATTATAAATTCTTGAGATATAAAATACATGAAATCTTAGACATAACAGTGAGTTCCAGTTTTTTCATGCGACAGAGTTTAAAAGACAAAAATAAAAATTTCAAATAAAATTGATTAGCAATTAAAGTTACTATAAAAAAGGTAAAATCCTGTACAGTAGTATCTGCCCATCCAGGTCACAGGCTACTTTGATATCGTCCAAATGTATTTTCATCTATTATAATATTACCTTATAAAATCTTTGATCCAATAGATTTCATATGTACATTAAAGTATCTTTTTTAAGTTTTATTACATTGCAATTATCTTTAACCTATTTGCTATTCCTTTTTATAAAATTGTAATTGAATTCAATATCAATAATTATTGTAACTCTAAAGTCTCAAACAAATATAAAATATTATGTTCAAATTTACAAGTGGAAAAGACCCTGTAATCGCATATCTGATATAATCCGTTGTCATTCTCTATAAATTAATAAAAAAGTTGTATATGATTCATTATAATTTAGATTATTTTATAGTTTGAAAATAACAGTCATTTATTCTAAATAAACCCAAATCAGTAAATTATCAAGAATTATTGTAAATATTTTTATATATCGTTACTTGATATTAAATCATTTTAAATTAATAACATGATTATATATGATCGAAATTTTATTTAATAAAAAATTTAATATAATAATAAATAGATAGTAATTTGTAAAAAATTGTTAAAACGAAAAAAAAGTCGATGAAATTTGCTCACAATAACAATAACACGCAAAATATTACTTTCAAACTAAATAGTCTGATCGAAAATCACCTCTCAAAATATATTTTTTAACCGTTAGATTTACTATTTTAACCTAAAAATAGAGAATAAAAATCAGGGTTTAATTAATATACGTATGTTTAAATTTGCCATCTTTATTAAATTTCATTAATTTTCAATCGAGAAATATCAATTTGTAAAGATTCTATTTAATAAAATATATTAATATTTTTTATAATTTACATATTTACAAAATTATTACATTATTTACCTGAAAATTTTTCACTAATTATGTTATCATTTTGTTCATTGTAATAATCATCAGAATTTTTTGGTTCCGGAAGATTATTAAAACTAAGTAATCTACTTGTATAAATAGCTTCGGAATGTGTTTCGTATGATGAACTTGTCAAAGGCATGCTACTAGTTGGTAGACTATTATTGATTTTTTCTGCTTCTATAATTTGTTTTTGTAATTCTTCTTTATCTCCATAACACCATTTATATAAAATATTTTCAATTTCTACTGCTTCCGGTCGATTTATTGGATTTGCATCCAAGCATCTTTTGACTAAATTCACAATCAATTGGGGCACTTTAATATTACTAAATCTTGGTCTAAGTCCTTGACAAATTTTTATTGCTAAATTTTTGTCATGGCTTACATCATGGTATGGAGGTAGTCCAGAAATTACCTCATACATAATTATACCAAAACTATAAATATCAGCAGCTTTATTATAATTTTGTCCTCTTAAAACTTCAGGAGCAATATAAGGTAAAACACCATATATACTGATTTTTGGGTTTTCCGATGCATTATAATCTGCAGGTTTGCATAATCCCATATCAGTTACCGTAACTTGAGATCCAAAACTAAGTATATTACCAATATGTAAATCTCGATGAATTAGTTCTTTTTCATGAATACTTTGAAGACCGAGTGTAATATTCCATAAATATTCTAGCTTAGTATTCCAAGATAATTCATGATAATTTTTATCCAAATAAGCTCTTAAACTTCCATTCTCCGCATATCGCAAAACCATCATGTAATTTTTTGTTTCTGGGTCTTGTGTAATTCCATAAACTCTAATAACAGAAATCGTTTTGTATTTTCTAGTCTTAAAATGCATTGTTATCTAGATATACATTTTATAAATCCATAAGTAAAAATCGCAATTTAAAAATTTCATTAAATTAAGAAATTAGGTAATACCTCATTGATAAATTCTGATGTAACATTTTCTGAATTATTTAAACTTTTCAGTGCTACATACTTATTGGACAAACTTCGTTCCCAATTTTTATTTATATTATCCCAACTTTTAATATATCCATCAAACCATTTTGCTCTATACACTTTTCCAAAACCGCCTTTTGCAATATATTCAATATCATATAATTTATTGTAAGGTATCCACTCTAAAACTTTCTGATAATTAGTTGCCGATAATTGAGTGTCTTGAATAAATTTGTCAATATCGTTATTACCACTAGTCCAATTTTTAAAATTTTGCTGAAAATTTTTTCCATTACATGCTTTACACCATCCATATTCATTTTCTTTTTCACATTCTTTACATATATAATCCATAGCTCAGTAGATAAATAAGAGCTAAATGTTGCGGTGAAAAGGATTTTTTTCAATTTATGCATGCACAACATAAGTGTAATACAGATCGACAAAATGATTCACTGTTTGTTTCGTTTGTTTCGAAATACTAAAACTGGTTTAGTGGTCCTAACTAGTGCTTCGACCCGGATGAAAACCGTCATCCGGATTACACAAAAAAAAAATCCGGATTATATCCGGATTGACCCGGATTTTGAATCCGGATCAGATAATCCGGATAGAAACCGGAAACCGGATTGGATTTACAAATGATCGGCAATAATTCTGGCCAGAATTCATAACGCCGGCCAGAATTACAAATTGTGTAACATTAAATTTTCATGCCAGCCGATAAAAAATTTTTTGCCCGGTGGCTAAACTATTTTTCCGGTGTCACGTGATGTTAATTTCGGCCAGAATTACAAATTTGGCCAAAATTATCCAAGA